CGCGAAACCTATAAAACGATGCCCTTCCTTTGCATTTCTTGGAATCGGATAGTTTAATACATACTCAATAGTTTCGTCGCTCGATCGTATTCCATACTGATTCACGCAATATCCAAGATACTTTATCTCGGTCTGAACACAATAGCACTTGTCTAAGCGAAACTGTAGATGACTCTTGCCAGCCAATTTGAACAATTTAGACAATATCGCTATGTGCTCATCTACATTCTCCGTAGCGAATATCATCGAGATACAATAATACTTTATGCTCTCGTATGAGCTTCTCAAACACTAGATGTAGTGAAACGCTGAAATATATATACATTCGTCAGGCCGAAGGGCATTCTTAGGTATTCGTATTGACCCAATGGTGTCACAAATGATGTACATTTTATGGACTCTGCATGCATCTCAATATAATGGAGTCCATCTTTTAAATCTAACACGGAGAAATACTTTTTATCTCGCAAACGATCAATATTATCATTGATAAGTTCAGTTGGAAAATTATCGCGCACGGTTATCTTATTGAGCTCGCAAAAATCTACACAAAATCGGCATTCACCATTCTTCCTTTGCACTAAAACTATCGGACTGGCGTACGGTAAGTTACTCGGTCGAATGATTTTCTTTCTCAATAGCTCATCTAAAATTTTCTGCCTCTCGATCCGCAAAAGATAGTCTACGGGGGCGCGCACTTATTAGTTGATCATGCTTCAGAACGATATTCATTTAAAAAACAGGTCCGCTTTTCTCTGCTCGAAAGTTCTCAAGATAACTCGATTTATAAATTTCACTGTTTTTATCTCTTTTCTCTTGACTGATCGCAGGGTTAATTTGTAACTCGTAACGATCGCTATTACATTGTTCGGCAACACTCAATATTTGTTCACCACATGTTTCATCCACGCTTTCAATTTCAACAGTATCTCCAAATGTAATACATAATCGCGGACACGCTAAAAAGTACCTAACAGCACTTTAAACGCCATCGCATCATCGGATACCGTATAAAACTTTATCTTCGTGCGCACGCTTTGTATATCTACATCGCCATGAAAAACTTTTAATGTCTTAAGATGAGAAACCATTCTGCAAAATTGGCTGGTATCTTCACTTACCGGATCACAAATATCCAAGACGCTATCTCGAATAAGGTTAATTGGCGAACTCGAGTCGATCATTGCATCTATTACATATATGTCTACCTTACCATGTCTATCACTGGGAGAAATTTTCGCGGTAATCATATATGGCTTTAGTAATGCAGCAGGCTGTATCACGTTCGTCGATGTAGTTTGCGCAGACTTTCCTCCAGCCTCCGAAGTCGGGAAGGTTGCTTACGTTCGGAACAATCCCTTGTTAAGTGTTCCGTCGAACCGTACAGGAAACAGGCTCTCCTTTTCATTGATACCGACGCAGTTGAACGTTTATAGATGTGCCCCGTCTCGTTGCACTTACATGATATCTTACTGCTTTTTCGCTTGCTCACAGCACCCCTGCCTTCGCGCTGGATGATTTCGTGGCCTCTTTCCTCTGCTTATAATTGCTGGGTCTCCTTGATTCGAGATTAATTTTCTCTTACGCCTTCAGTAATTCTACTCTTTACCGAAAATTCATAATACGCGCCTGGTTTTGTAAGCATGTGTCAATGATGCCCTCTAGGGAGAGGAACTCATCTTTTGCGATCGGCACCCGATTCGCGAGGATAATTTTCTCGTAGTAGTCGTATAGTATTCGTAAAATGGTTCGTTCGTCTTCCACACACGGGTTTCAAATTCTTTCCGAAGCAACAATTTACCGGGTCGCAAATCAAATATCTGTTCCATCTCTTTTAATAAATTCTCGATGCTAAGCGTCAAATATTCCGCCTTCGAGTAGAATATATGAGCGCTCGCCCTTTCAACCTTGAGCTTATTAGAACTCTGGTCGAGCTGTCATCCAGCTGACACGAATTTCTCAGCACTCTAGTTGATTTTTCCATCTCCAGAATGTGTTTTCAGTCGCATCGAATTCTGGCAAGAGATCTCTAATGCTGTGTACATCGCCGGTCGTCGAGATGACATTACTTGACACATTTGCGTTATTTCGCGCTCTCATCGCAGTAATAGTTGCTCTCTCTCCAATAGCTCTCTTTCTCTTTAAATCAATTCCAACTCACGTTGCGAATGACTCTCGGATTCTTCCGGTAACAACGGTAGAGGTTTCGATCTTCCTTCCTGGCTTAGCGTATCGTTGTCTCCCGGATTCGTTGGTTCGTCCGCTGTCTCTTGTCCGGCATTCGTGCGCTTCCTGTCTGCGCTTGGTTCCATTTCTCGCCCAGAATCGCTCAAATATTCGAATATATGGCACTCAGCCGTAAAATCAGCTCTGCTTTGGCCCTTGCGGTGGACAATCCTCTCTCGCGAAGAGTATCTTTCAGCTCATACATAGTAAAGTCGATTCTTTCCAACGGTTTCATGGTAACTTGCAGCAATGGAGGATGGTGATAACAATAGTGCTCACACGTGACAACAATTCGCCAGTACTTGGATATATTCACTCGCAGCAAATGATCCACACGTAACTCTCACAGAGTGTACCGTACCCATTGTCTATTGTCGGATATCGCGTTCGTGTCCTCTCTCTTTTATACACGGCGAGAAATTTACCTCGTATCGACACTCATACGTAACTCGCAAAACTAATTTCAGTATATTCGGAAGATATCGATCACGAAGATCGATCACGTCGATTCCACTTCTGAAAAAGACTGTAGTAAGAAACAATCTGTGAATTTATTGATAAGGATGGCACAGGATACCGTAAAGTTATTCTTCCTGATCTCTTGTAAAGACTGCACACTCCGGGCTCGCTCCCGGGATCTGCTCCCTCTCGTGGAAGAACATGAAGCAATCAATAGCGCGAGATCACGCAACCTCGATTACTCATTACGGAAAACCCGGGGTCGGGTTTACTTAAGCTGGGAACTTTTCTCCTACCACTTTTTTTCTCTCTCTTTAGGTAAACGAACAAAACGCTAATATTAGAAACAAACAGGCTTAATCCCATAACTAAACGGTTCGGCATGTGTTCGCAGAAATATGCCTATAAAAGCAACAGAAAGTGAGACTCATGCGTGAGGGTGAAGAAATTATAAATGGTGGATTAGTCATTTCCGTTGGTATAAAAGATAAAAGAAGATGCCATAGTGCACTATTCATTAGAATATCTCAAAATTTAATAAGTATAAAACAAAAATATTTCAAACAAGTTGCTTAGCTATTACAGGGAAAAATGATGATAACCTTAGCTAAGCATAACCTTAAAGCAGCCTATGGATAGCAAATATAACAACTTAGAAGAATATGCAAAAATATTTTCGTATATTACTATTCAAATAAAAATATTTTAAAAGAATATCAGCAATGTGTAAATATAGGTGTAACAGACAGTTTTTATTACTAATTTTTTTAATTTGCTTTCTGAAAAGTAGATCACATTTCTTAAGATGTCATCTTAAGATGTAAAATGATTAGAACAAACGCATATATTGCAAAGTTGATTTTTAAAGCAATCTCTCACTTTTTTTTTAAATTAAACTTTTTGGGGAAATAAAATCTTTCGGATTACTATAAGTTTTATATTAGCCTTATGTATGTTGCTTGCACTTTTTGCACTCAGCATTTTCGCTTCCTCTTTTTTTAATGCCAAATGTATATCTATCTCATTTTAAGTGCAAAAATGTTTGGAGATTTCATGCAACATGAACAGAACCATTACATATAACAAAAAGTAATAACACATTTTTGCGATTCATTACTTACTAATTTTGATGTTACATAAAAAGTATTTGGGCTGTCTGATTTACGCTAATTTCACTTATTGCCACTAGGCGCGCTGAGGAGAAATTTAGCGTCACCAATTAGTCCCTCATCGTTCTCATTGAGAAAGGGGGGAGGGAGGGGGAGGGAAGAGAGAGAGAGAGAGAGAGAGAGAGAGAGAGAGAGAGAGAGAGAGAGAGAGAGAATTACTTTGGGAGTAGCTCTGTCTTGCAATATTGTCTTCAGCTAAGGCATTAGAGAAGTAGGTATTCTCATTCGCGATTTTGATTGCACTTGATTGATAGGTTATAGTATAATTGGTGACAAAGGTAAATGTTAAAAAGAGCCCGCTCATTTCAAATTTGGATAAAATACACTGAATCGATTTGTTTTTGCATAAAAATAAAGATTTGACAAGAAAAAAATGTCGCTCTGCTCCGTGAACCAAAATATTAATCCTTAAAGTCGACTATTCAGGTTAGAAAATCTCACAGCAGCGGTTCACTGCTTAAAAACACAAATTCATTACTTTTAAAATACAAGTACTTTAGCAGAGAATTTATGTTTTTAACACTTATAGTGAACCACTGTTATGAGAGATTTTTTAACCCGAATAGTCGTCAACTTTAAGTATAATATCTTGATTTGCTGAGCAGAGCGACACTTTTTTCTTGTCAAATCTATATTTTTATGCGAAAACGCATTGATTCAGTGTATTTTTATCAAAATTTGAAGTGAGCGGGCTCTTCTTAACATTTACCTTTGTTACTAATCATACTATAACCTATCAATCAAGTGGAATCAAAATCGCGAATGAAAATATTATCCATATCTAGTGCCTTACTTCAGCTTCTCTTGTACGAACGTTCCGTCTTATGTTACTTCACTTACCCATTACAGTTGAGTCCTAGAGATAGAACGCCCGTCCGCGGCCAACAGAAATTAATTCGATACGATTTTGCTCCTAGGGAATTGCGCGGCAACTCGATCAAACTTGCGTCTGGAAAATAGTTAGGAGTTCCGCACAATAAAAGGAACAGAGAACAGAGAATAGAATTTCCATCTATCAGAAATTGTGTATTTCACAAAACATGATTTCTGATAGGTTGAAATTCTTATTCTTTGTTCTCTGTTCTCTATTCCTTTTATTGTGCGGAGCTCCTTGATTGTCATTTCACAATTGTTCCCCTATTCTAGCTAGATAAGTCAAAAACGAACGTCCAAGCACGTCGCACAGTCGCTGATTGTCCGGATTTCTGATACGCGTGTGCAAGTTGAGTATCTCTCAAAACGCTGCGAATGATAGCTAAATGCTCCATGATCGACCGATCTGAGTTCAAGGTACATGTCATAATTAATTTTGCGGGTCGCACGGTGCTGGTTAAATGTCGAGGTCACGTACAAAGCACTCGTGATCCACAGCGAATACGCATCGGTAAATGCGAAGCGCGTGCGCGCGATTCGCGTTCCGTCAACTAGACACATAATCAGGACTCAAGCCTTCGTTACGCGGCTTGTTCCGAAGTATTGCGAATTTACAGAGCAACAAACGGCGTCCACGAATCACGAAGAGGAGGTAGCGTGTACCGTGCCTCAAGATGACGACGCTCCGATAGTACATAGGTAGCGTGAAGGCCCGATGCGGAAGACGTCAAATTGTGCGGCAGTGATCTGCCTGATGGTCTCAAGATGGCGGCTTCTAAGCACCACGTGGTAGCTGCAACGTGGTGATGTAGTGTGACTCGGCAGTTCTCCTGTCCATAGCAGCAGCGACGTTATTCAGTGTTGCTTTGTTACGATGCCCGCTAAAGTGTTTTAGGGAAACAGGCTTTGGGATGGTCGGACTAAGAATGCGTAGTAATCTTTCGAGAATTTACTATATATATGTATTTATTTATGTACTTATTCGATCATTAGGATTATCGAGTCCTTACAAAATAATCTGCGCAGCGCGTGTGTTACATTCATATCTTATGTGTACGTTATGTAGCAATTCAGTTCTGCTTTTCTGTGCTAAAGGCAAAAGTTAGTTGCGTTTGACTATAATCTCTCAGGACTACGATAATAAGCTGCGTTAATTTAATAATTATTAAGCATTAATAAACTGCGATTAGTTATAATAAATTTTTAATGTTAAAATTAACTACAGTTAAGTATGACCAATTACTAATATTAAGATTGCTAAGCACAAGTTTTTCTCTTCAGATTAGTTAGTTGAAGCATGTGGTAGCGAGATTCTTAGATTGCTTTAGCGTAAGAATTATACACGTTAAGGCTTACAAAACGTTAACAAAGGATTCGCAAGGCTCTAAAGAAATGCAGTGGAAGTTCGCGGACGAGGATGAATGATATTTAATAGGATGAAGTCGAATTAGTAGCACGTGGAAATTGTATGTTTACAACTGAATAGCACACCACAAGAGCACTCGTCTTTGTCCACTCAGTTAGACATCCGAAACCAGAAACAACCAGAGAGCATAGCCCGAGGGAGCTTCCTTTCGAAAGATCCGACGTCTCTTGCCCTACTCTCACATATTCGGAGTTTTCTGCAATAAGAGGAGCCTACTTCAAGGGTTTCCCTCGCGCTCGCTTACACAACGCTCAATCTCTTACATGCGGGGGTAGCGTTACGGCAATCCAATAGTGGGGATTAGAAGGGAAAAGAGAGAAATGCTCTGACGTCTAGAGAAGAAAATACTGCACGGACCTAATACTTATAAGTCTACGGCAGTGGTACAAGAAAGAAAAAGATATATGCTACCTTGCTTTGGTCTCTTTCGCCAATTTTCGGTTATTATTATTGACTAGTTTAACCGGTTGGTGAAGAAGACTCTAATGCAAATTACTAGAAAATGGAGGACAAAAGTGGAATTCTTATGTCGAATCACTGATTCAGTGAACTCTATAACATAATGGAGCGAGCAATTGAGCAGTGAGGATGTCTCAATTTTTTATTTCCTAAATAAGGACACTTTAGTGTAAAGTTGGTAGTTTTTTGCCAGGGATTTACTAGGTGTATCCAGCAACGACCGCTCACTGAGCTCTCACTGAGCAAAAAAGGGATTTATCTATTATTAATATATGTTTATTTAAAGAATCAAGGAAAAGTGAAGCGGAAAGTGTTCTCTTTTCTGATTCGTTCTATCATTTATTGTGCATTTCTGCAAATGTGCATGTGTTATGTATAATACATATGTAATATACGCAATACTAGTGTGGTACAATACTAATATATGTAACACTGTATGTTCATGTTCCTACTATATCTCCTACTCACTAATGATGAACTGAAAATGATAGTTTCTGGCTGCCGCTGGAATCCGCTTCACTCTCTCTTTATTTTCTCTGGTAAATGTATGTTTTTCTCTCTCGCGTGATTTTTTTAAAAATTAGAGCCCCTGCATACAAAACTCGGCTTGTGTCCAGATTCTTATTGGAGGATCTCTATCCTCTTACAGAGTCTCTAGAGGTAGAGGGTCATGCATACAAAATACAAATATAAAATATATATGTGTGTTTGACATAAATGTAGGCTACGTTTTGATTGGTAGTGCCAATGTATAAGCATGCCAATTAAAAGAGATCTAAGCATGATCAGACTCTGGATGCATTGCATTTCACGCATACATTATTTAACCGTATTGTTCACCGAATGTTAGATAAGGATAAATGATGCACATTATGCAACGGAAATTATGAAACGGAATGCATCCTCTATATTTAAGGACTCTTTGTCCTGTTGTAGAGACCCTCTAATCAGAGCAGTGAGTTTTAGAATATATTGGCGCGAGCCTTCCCTATACTGTACTGCAGAAAACTATGGCTCCACATAAAAAAGGAAAGCAATCAATATTGGTCTTCCGGAATTTTTTCTAAAGGGTGTCTCAAAATGACCTGACATTTTAATGTATTAATAAAACATATTATTTATTTGAAAAGTACACATGTTTTCAGTTTAATATAAAGTACAAACATGGAGGTTATATGTGGAACACAATATCGGATAAATGGCCGCCTCGACTCTGTTTGCAAACGTTCATTCTTTTCACAAAATTTTCAATGACATTTTGGCATAATTGCGGACTAATTTCATTAATTACGTCTAATTTCTTCCTTCAACTCCGGAATGGTCTGTGGACCATTGGCATACACTTTTCCTTTCAGAAAACTCCAAAGAAAGAAGTCCAATGGCGTCAAATCGCACGATCTTAGTGGCCAATTCACATCGCCGCGGCGCGAAATAACTCGACCATGAAACTTCGTCTGCAATAACTGCATTGTTTTTATGCGTTGCTCGATCGTGTAATTCTCCATGACTAAACCTCAATACTTCCTGATCCAGTTGTTAAAGGTTAGTACGTTACGTTCGCTGCAAAAAAAATGGCGCGCAATTTAAAATGTCAGATCATTTTGAGACATCCTTTACTTACAGGCAATAACAACATTAGCCAATCAGTGGGTGCATTCAGAAGCGACGATCGCTCACCGAGCGCTCACTGAGCAAAAAAGGGATTTATCTATTATTAATATGTTTATTTATTATAATTTAACGTAGAATAACTTTATCTACTACAAATAATCTTTAATATCATTTTTCTTACTTATAATTACGTCGTAATTATAGTATTATAATAATTGCTTACTATATTATTGCTTATTATATTATTGTAGAATATTCACATAATATGTTAATAATAAAAAATTTAAATATTAAAATAAAAATCATGTAGGAAAGAAAATATTTTAATGATATTTGCCGGAAGATATGCTCCCAGCATACTTTTTGTATCACGATGCTCCTGGGACACAACGTCATGTGGGCTCGGCCGCCGAGTCTCGAGTGGTAGTGGGAGTCACCTCAGAAATCTGCCCGAAATAGGAAACTAATTCCGAGCACTGATGTAAACCTATAAATTGAAGTCAATATTCAAATATGACTCTGCATTTTTGTCGGCCATATTGGCCGCCATTTTGAATTTTATAATTTTGACTTCGAATTCAGGATATCAGCGATATAAAGAACTTATAAATATAGCTTTTAGTAAGTATAATCAAACTTTTTTAATTTTAGCCATTTTTTCGACAGTCTATCTCACTGTGCGTAGTAATAAAAAAGTAAATTATTGCGACAGTATAAATATGACGTATATATGACTTCCAGTTACAAAAATATAATTAAACTTTAAATTTTTGCAATTTTTTGGCAACTTATCCCCTTAAGCGCTCCTAAAATTGATGTTCTCGCACTTATGAACTTGCACGTTCATAAGTGATACTTGATATCAAATTCCAAAAGTGATAAAAAGTGGCACATCTACATTAAAGCGCACATTTTAAGGCTTCTGTTCGTGGCGGTCATGTTGGCTGATATCAGAAGCAAGGAATGATATGTTAATTTATGTTGCCATTTTTAAATAAAGACAAATTGGATGAAACGAAATGACGAGATCGCTTTAAAACACTCGTAAAAATCAATGATAACTGTCTTTTTCTCTTAAACGGTCGTAAAAAGCCTATATTCGTAAAGTGAGCCTATATTCAGGCAGAAATATATCCGTCCGACAGGTGTTGAAAGTAAAATATACATATAAAATTTTACATATAAAATTTCAAGATAACTTTAGTTTTCATCGATAACTATGACTTTGATAAGTATGAGACAAGTCACATTTTCACAATTAAGCAAATAATAATGAAATAGCACGCAACATAAATTTCGTCTTCAAAACAGACTTTTCTTCGTTTATAAATTCAACCATTTATTATGGTGCGGCACTATAACACACAAACAAACACGGCCATATCCATGTGCTCGCCTGCGGCGTACCGAGAGACAGCGAGCTTCTTTTCACACTAAGTCGTTTGTTTCAAGCGACCGAAAATGCTTTCTCGACAATCTCGGCCGCTCGCGTGTGGTCTGAGGAATAGGAGGGGGGGGGGGGGGGGGGGCATCCTAAATAACATAAGTTTTAATAAATTGTGGTAATAGTGTATCCTTCCATTAATCCAGAATAGTATAAATCATGTTAAAACGCAACAGTTTACGAGATATTTAATTGTTTACGATTTTTTATGCATGTTACATAGTATATTTCCCTTTTATAAACTCGAGTAGCAAGAATAATTCAATAGAAGTAGAATTTTGCCAGAAAAAAATTATTATTACCAGCATTTCTTTTCAGGAAAATCTCGAAAGGTCAGAAAAGAAATGCGTATGTTCGAGATTCGAGACTTGTGAAGAAAATATGCGAAAAAAAATCGAATAATTGCAAAAAGCACGTTTTTCACTTATAAAATGAAAGATATTGATTGTATGAAAAAAAATCGGTATAAAAAATGTAAGTATTCGAAATAATTACAAAATGAGGCGTGGAACATTAAAATCGATCTATTTCAGTAGAAAAAAAAATTTTAAAAAAACCGAAAAAGGCCTTTTTTTCACTCGCTCTCTGTTCATTGAGATTTAAACGCAAAGCTTTGAAATTCTCATAAAATGTAGCCTTCATAATGAATCTGACCCTGAACAAGTCTGAAATGTTCATTTGTTTTTGCAAAAAGTCATTTGTTCACTAAAAACCCGTCTACGGAAAATTTAATTTCTTCATTTTTGAGCAGTCGCACAGCAATTTACAGTGATTTTTCTTCTTCAAGAATTGCACTATCACGTGCATTTAATAACAAAATGATTTTTTGCAGTTAAACTATTATAAAACGACTTTAAATAGTGGATATCTTTTTCCGTGTAAAAAGATGGAAATAATTTCATTAATACGCATCATATTAAATAGCCGTGTGAAGCATTCGAAATCTTTATTTTTCTATGAATTTAAAAAAAAAGACCTTCCGATTATTAGCCGAGATATATAGTTATTGTCTGGCTAAGTCCCGCGTCGGGACTTAGCCGGATTTCATGAGCGGAGGTCATACTTAAAAGTATTAAGATATATAGTAGTTAGATATATAGTAATAGTTTAATAAATAAAGGTATATTTTTTTACTTTGATTAGTTCCAAAATAGTAACTTTGAAATGGCATGTGAGCAAAATATATCTATTTTCTATGATTTTTCCTAAAGAAAATTTTGATCAGCATCTTATATAATCCACAAAATATCACAGTTTCAGTTAATTTTAATGTGGCAGTATTTATGAATTTAATAATTTAATTTTTAATTTAAAATCAATAATGGCGAAGCTGGGCAAATGATAATTTTTTAAATATTACAGAATTATACATTTTATGTAATATGATTCCTTTAATTATTCTACAAAAGTATTAGGGCAAAAATATCAATAAATCAATAGTTTAATTACTATTTCATATTTAATTCTGACACATATTGACATAAAGTATTAAATATTGTATCTTGCAAATTATTAATTTTTTGATAATCGTACCTTAATACTTTTATGAATAGAATAATGAGATGAATCAATTAGTGTAAAGAAAACTCATAGTTACTCATTAACAAAATTATTTATTTTGCCTACATATTTATTTACAGCAACTGTGTGTTTTTTTTAAATAATTGATTCATCTTATTCATAAAAATATTAAGGTATGGTTATCAAAAAATTAATAGTTTATGTCAAAATATTTAATACTTTATGTCAATATGTGTTAGAGTTGAGTATAAAACATCTCGTAAACTATCGATTTTTTGGTATCTTTGCCCTAATATTTTTATATGCAGAATAATTAGAGGAATGATATTATGTACAAAAATATATATAATTCTCAGATTAATTGCGTTGAAAGTCCGACAACAATATCGGCACGTAATTATCATTTCTGAAATTAATTCATTTATATGAATATATATATTAGTTCAACATCTCAACATTC